TGCAAATACCATCACGAGCAATTCTTGGTCCTAAATGAGTTCAACAGAAGTTTAAAGAGGCAGGTTAATTGTATTTTATCTGCATTTGTATTAAACCATGTTTTTTAGTGTAAGAAAAGAATTTGTACTTTTTACAGCACCTACATTCTGTTTTAAAAATCAAGTAGCACTTCGTGGAGGCAAAAAAATTTTTTTGCTTTAGGGTTAGGTTTTTCCTCCAATTTAGAGGGAGTTTCCACATCTGTCTGTAAAGGAAGGTTGTGCTTTAGAAGCTTGATCCTGCAAATCCTACTTTTATTCTCCTGACTGCAATGAGGTAATTTGTGTAAGGCTCCACTTACACAAAGTTGAAAACAAAGTTTTAGCTCAAATTATCAGCAACACTTTTCAATGAAGTGTAACAACTTTTCTTTTGGAGGCAGGAATATAATTTTTGCAAAATAATATCCTAGGATTCAAGCCAAACATTCATTTTGCGTGAAACTGATAATCAGTTCGGCTATCCTTAATTGTGGCACCACAATAGGTAAGGAAGTTACAATTTTGCTGTAGCTTCTCAAGTTCACAGTGAAGAGGGCTATTGCTTTGGATGTGCTGTAATGATCGGTCTGACAGCATACCTAGAACCCCTATATTCCCTGTTGGCCCCAAATTCATATCAGGTACTTGTCTATGGGTGACAGCGAGAGTATTCCTTTAACTAGTGAGATAGTATTTCCCTGAAAATAGAGCAATGGCTTTCTCAGACATTACTAGGATTATATCCTGAGAGAAAGTTATAAATAGACTAAGCATGACGATATAATTACAGGAGCATGAATTACATATCTCTAAATTATTACTGCAGCATACCGAAACCAAGTCATCCCTTTGAAATTAAGAAAAACTATAAATATTCTGACTCTCCACGACTATTTTGGAAGCCTTACTAGATTTCAACAGAATGGGATTAAGACAACTAAAAAGGGAGAAAAGATGGACTCTTGGCCAAGGACAGAAAAACAGAAAAAAATTATTCCTCTTCCCATGTTGAACTTAAGCATACAAATCTCAGTGCAGAATGAGCTTCTAGGAGAGGTGTTAAAACATGGGCTCTCTCACTGACAGCAGAAGGTATTTGACACTTGAGTGAGCAGCAAAGCTCAGCATAAACCCGATTTCGAGACCCTGGCACACAGCTCCTGTGCCTTCCCGCTAGAACTCTCAAGGTCTGTGAAAGTCATGGCTTTGCCATGTCACACTGTGACAGAAGAGTTATTGTCCTACTTTGTTATACAAACAGGGTTCATATCCTTTTGTTTGAGACAAAAGTTGAGCTTATGTTTCAGCAAAAAATATTGAAACGTTCCCCTTAATAATAATAATAGAATTAGAGAAAGGGAGTGAATGAGTCAAACCTCTAACAAAGAGAATAAGCCTGTATTCATGTAATGAATTTCCTACAGAATGGTGTGTTGAAAATTCAGTGCATTTGAAAGCACACAGAAAAGGCAAGGTAGACATGAGGAAAAGACCCACTGCGTTCAAAAAGGGCCAAATCCACTCTGGTGTAAGCAGGCAAAACACCCATTCAAACCAGTCAAAAAGAGTCAGCCCCCAGTGTCTATTAACAAACTGTTACTTTATGGTGTTGGTCCAGCCATTCAAGGACTCATCAGAGATTCTTGCGGCTCTTTTGTCTTTCAGTGAACAGGAAATATCTTGACTCCTTTTGATTCTCTATCTACACATCAGGCACAATTTCAGCAAAGAACAAATGATTAAGTGCATAAGGAGCCCTGCTGCTTTATGAAATGTTATAGACCAGAAGGTTTATGGAAAAGGCTTTACTTCCCTCCTGGAAGAGGCTGAAAGACTTAAGCTTGCAGTGCTGAAGGGGAAAATGTTCAACATGCTTTCCTCAGTAAGGTAATTCATTGGCTTAAATTCAACCACAGTAAAGAAAGAAGATCACTTGTTTGCTTGCAGTTGTTCACAAATGTGTTTTGACTATAACTTAGGTCCCCCTTCCCCACAGTAGATCTAGCTCAAATCTCAAAGTTGGCACTAATGAGAGCTGGGACACAAATTCCACCAAGAATTGTCTCTTGTTGCCTCAACTTGCCATACGTGAAACAATGACAGTATTTAACTCCTTCTGACCCAACTCTCCTATACACAAATTTGGAGAAATTGATCTCTAAAGACTGAAAAAAACCCCATGAAGATGAATGTGAAGATACATTTGGCATCCTTACTTTATTTTTAGGCACCTATTCCCTGAACACATTCATCACTGTGCCTGGCCCTGTTTAACCATCTTGAAAGAAGAAAACCCCACAGAATTATTGAGAAACAATTGAATGAAAGTTTCTTTAGTGCCATAAAAGATGCTTTCTCTTCTATATGGTTCTTGAATACAGAACAACAAACTCCTAGGATGTGGAACTTCTTGTAATAGAGCTCTGGAACCATACTGTTCATGTTTCCTTTAGGATGTCTAAGACTCTTCTGGAAGGTTTTATCATCTACAGAGAGAACAAGCAACAAAACAACAAAAAAATGGAAGATTGCTGCTTTCTTATGGAAGATGCTGACTCTAAACATTAAGCAAGAATTATGGTCAGCTGTAGCTTAAACTGCTTGTTGCTGTTCTTCACCTCTCTTACTCCCAGTCTGCCTTTCACTCTTCATAAATTGGCTTAACTTTTGCTGGTTTGAATGCTTCATGCCCTCAATACAAGCGGTCTCTGCCTGTTCTTTTGCAAGGGGGGCAAATAAAGCAGAACAAGTGAACTCGGGATACATTCAATGACACACATAATGAAGCTGTGGGCATTAGAAATTGCTTGCACATGTTTTGTCTCTGTCTGTTCAACCTCTTGTTCTCCGAGAAGACTAAAATGATCACATAAATGCAACCACTGGCACCTATTATACATAAACTAACACAGCCACTGCAAGGGAGATTATTCCCCTTTAGCTTTTTTTCTACCGTAGATAAAGAAAGGACTTGGGTTCAGTTAGAAACTACGTAAGGTAAGATGCCAGAGGAAGAAACATTGCTTGCTGCCCTTGAAACTAAGTACTTGGAAGGCCACGGTATCACCCTGCACTGACAGAGCTTAAAACACCGGGAGACAAAATTAAAATGCCAAAATGCCCTAACCTAACCACAGTTCCTTGCTGTGACAATGGTTGTCCACCTTGTCACACTACTAAAGTCAGTGAAACAAAGAGCATATGATCTGATCTTATGTTACTCTTCAACTACTTTACTGCTCTTTCACCAATTCAAATTTTCTGTCTTACCCCAATGGAAACACTAGCTGCTTTACTCCACTGTTACTCATGTCTGTATAGATACATCAGTCACAGTCTTGCATCAGTCACATCCTCAGTCTTGCTGTTGAAAGAAATCTGAACCAAATGTAAACAGCAGTAGCACTACTGATTTTAGCACAGCAGAACTTTTTTGGAGTGTGGGCACTCTATATACATTACATGGTTTCCCCAGAAAATTCAGAATATTTTTTAAAATCTGAAACAAATGAAAACAAAAAGATTTTCTCAAAAAAAGCTTTTTACCCCACTACTTCGGGTACCCCTACTAGTTACTGGTATCGTTATAGTTATCTCAACTCTACGCAACATAGGGAGACTATAGTGAAATAGAATTAATATATCCAACATCCACAACCTCTAATAAGCTGTTCATTATTTTCACTGACTGCAAGGATTTCAGGTTGCTCATTGCAAGGCTGACAAGTCCACAGAGCTGTGGATTACATCACCAGATCACATGCATTTGTAAGTATGTTTTTTCACTTCACACTGGGTTATTTTAGTTTTTCAACCACTGATTCACTAAACTACTTATGTGCTTTCAAAAGAACACTGTTTCAAAGGGATAACGCTCTATGAAAGCAAATATTAATTATAACATTAATGCTACAATAAATGGCTAAGGGCCTTTTAAAAGGCAAAAATCCACACAAGTTTGACATATACAAATGTACAAAATAAGAAATGCAGTACCTCCAATCTATACTGAAATAACATATTTTATCTTGCATTTACTGTGCAAATACCAACCAAAGAAAAGCACTCTATATAAAATTTCGAATGTAGCATTAACCTCCAGCTCTCAAAACCCAAGTACTTTTGATATTCATGTACATCTTCTGATATTTTACAACAGCCAGTTCACTTAGGTCTTTCCTACTGTGCACTAAACATTAACTAGAGCTAGTTGTGGGCCCACTACTACTAACACCAAATATTACATTCTCACACAGAAAATCTTACAAGCAAAACTTCTGATTATTTCAATGCATTTCCTGAACGCCTTTTCTCATCTGGTAGTGATACAGTGTTAATGTTCATATTAGCTAAAGTGCAATATCCCTCATTGGCATGGGGAACAAAATCAGATGCTGTCAACTGCGCAGAAATCAACAGAGCACTGCAGAATTACATCAGCTGTGATTTTGCCCCAGAGGGCTAGTTAATCTCTCTGCTAACATACAGAAAATAAAAAACCTGGCAAACCTGCCAACTGCCTGAAGGTTTAGTAACTATGGCTAAGACTACAGTCAGCATTCATTAAAAAAAAAAAAAAAAAAAAAAAAGCACTTTTCAGAAGGGAAATCAAGTAAAGATGGAGAGGAGAGAAAAAAATCTGGAGAAATAGCACATAGTATGTACATAGAGCAAAAGATGTTAGAGAGAATTTTGTAATACTGAGCACAAGCTGCTTTATAACCACAAAAAAAGACAACCTTTTCAAAATTCACAGTTATTTTGTACAGCAAAGAAGATATGAAGAAGGAGAAACTAATGCAAAGGTGGATTAAAAGTCAGAGTTCACAGGGCTCACAGAGGCATTATCTTGAGGAAATTCTCCAAGCCCCAGTTTTGGTGAAATTGTTAGCTTTAGTCCTTTGATTTAACACAACTTCAGACTCAGTATCCAAAATCCAGTCTGAACTTTTTAGCTCTCAACTCCAGCATCACTCCTGTCAGCTGAGTTGAAACTCACACGGGTTGGCTCCTCTTTCTCTGGCAGCCTGGTAAACAAACATGAAATCTTTAAACCGAGGAGCACAGCCCAACCAAGCTTCGCCAAAATGTTCATTTCCAGTGAAAAGGAAATCTCCACCTCCCTTCTTCATCTTGCATTGCAGCAGGGTTCGTATAGGGCCTCGCCATTCACCACTTGCTTCATCCTGCTGGAAAATTCTGTTTTTCTGTCTGTAGACTTTCTGGACACTGACATCAACCTGTGACATGTAGTTCTCTGAATCGTGGGAAACATTTCGGATAGATCCTTTCACCACTAGATGTGAAGAAGACAAGAGTTGGTTATGAAGCAGCATGTAAGTAGTTCAGGTACTAGGAGCTCACTGAATGAAACAACTGGAGAAACACATTTATTGTGCAGTTTGCACACCTACCACCTACCAGCAGATGCATTTCTGAGCTTACACTGCATCCTTTACACAGAGGATCCCCACACAAACAATGCCATGTGTTTGGAAGCATGCTTTATGACTACCCAAATCTAGCTACATTTGAGGAAAGAGCATATAACTTGCTTGATAATGAAAAGTAGCAGTAAAGGATAAAAAACACCCAAAAAGAGGTCAGCTCAGCGATTCAGCTTTTCCACTTGTTCCAAGAGAATGACTGTCACAGACTACCTCCTTCCTATCCCCATCGGACTCAAGCTTTTCCTTTAACAGCAGTAACATAGGCTGATCCAAGAAAAATCAGAATATTATTTGGTTAGAGAAAATAAGAGCTTGATAAATGTTTTTCATTTAAAGATTTGGCTTTTTTTCCCCTCGAAAGAAAATGTCATCCATTCACAAAAAGACACTTTGAGAGATGATGAACAACATGCCCAACTCTAAAAGTGACTTTATTTGAAGCAGCCTTATTTAAAAATCACATAGCATACATGTACGTCCTTTTCACAAAATGATCCTAGCTGTTTTCTGGGAATGCAAGCATAGAAAGCCATAGTTCTTTCTGACTGAAAGCATCCTTTGTATCAACCATACGGAGAATGAAGCATCCCATCTGACAGGTGTTTGTTGTCTTGAAGTTACCTCTCATTCTCGCTGCCTCTACTCTTCACAGCAACGAATTATTCTTCTACTAACTAAATTAATTTCAATCCCATATCCAAAGAAGGCTCAGAAACACGCTACCATTTGAGCCAAGAGCTGTTGAGCAAATGAGACATTACCAATGCAAGAGGAACATCACCACGCTTCTTTCATTCAGGTACAGAGAACTCAACAACCCAAGAGGCAGCAAAAGCTTATTTGTGAAGTTTCCAAGAATTTCCTCATTTAATTCAATTTCCAAGAGAAAACAGGATTTTGTGTAACAGATGTCCCTTCTCTCTGTCTCCATTTTTGTGTGATCATTTTTAATCAGATGCAGCCAGGTCTATTGACAAGCTATAATGCACTTGTTCCTGGTGCTCCAAGTTGCTCTGGCACTGCTCAGGGCTAGTGACTGAAGACCTCCATCTTCAGAATAACTATAAAGCCCCTATTCACTCCCAGTGTCATTTACACTTTCATTAGCAGCTATTCTCTCTAATCAAAAAAGTTGATGATAGCGATTTGTGAGCTTAGGGCAAGGAAGTCAGGCCATAAATAGAGTCAGTTCAAAGGGCTATTTCTTCTGGTCTGTTGCTGCTGTAAGTGTATGTGCCCCCATTGTGTGCTGGGCTCCACATCTGTCAGTCTCTGGTTTTTCAGGCAGTGACAAGAGAGAGCCCCTTGCATGGGAACCGATAACTTCATCAAGTAGAAACAATGGGTTGGATTGCATAAATTAATTTAGCAGAAGAAGAAACATTACCAGCTAAGAAGCACCCTAAGGGAAGCATGCTCTATGTTCTGCATTAGCGCAGTGATGTTGGCATTTGATTTTATCAGTAACCTTGAGGTATGGCAACCATTAGTAGGAAAGCAGTAATTTGGTGGGTTTTTTAAAACATTGAATAGGGATAAATATAGTTCATAGTTGTATTTCTTTACGTGGGTACCTTTACAGCAATATAACAGTGGCCACGTGGAGAGGCAGCTCTACAGCTTTCACTATTGGACACAATCAAAGAGGTACAAATTTTCATGTGCAAAACTATGGGAATAAAATGAACAAATCATGATCGAGAGAAAAAGAAAAAAATATATTGCGTTATTAGTAGAGAAAATGGAAAAAGCTTTTAATGCACCATCAAATCAGTATTTCTTATATATTCTTAGGGAATTTAACTGCTCTGTTTTCTCATAAGGCATGAAACCTAACCAGTATGTCACCGAGGGAAGTTTAAATCACCTGAAATCCTTAGCTAAATGACAAACAACTCACTACCTAGGAAGTGTGTAAATTGTGAGGGAAGAGAGAGGGACTATTTATCATAGGAAAAAAAACAATCAGATGAAAGGAATAAAAAGGAAGATACCAAGCATGTATAACCCGTGTGTATGTGTGTTGACACACACGACACTGCGACACACACATGACACTACCACGTGTGAAAGCCAGAAGCACACTTGTGAGAATTACTTTCAGTTCAGTTTTAGATCATAATCTTTCTACCTACAGGAAATGAGGACACTGAAAGAAAGTTCCTCCCTTCTCAGTTTCATTTTTTTTGCTCCATTCAAATTCTTTTTTCACACAGCTAGTTTTTTTTCTCAGATCAGAGAGCACAGTCATGCAATTATTTTAAGAAAATAAGCAAATAAATCCAAATAGTCAATGCATAACTAAGGCAGAATGACTTCTCTTTAGTCAGCTTACCAAAATCACTGCTGCAAATGGCCATAAGAAGTTCCACATTGTCACAAGGCCGGCACATAGCTAGAAAAAAAAAAAAGAACAGTTAGTTATTTATAACACTGTACTATGTATTACTGGTGAATTATAAGATGAAACAGGGCAGACCTATGAGCTTAGAGCATTATGCTCAGATGCAAACCAAAATTCTTGTTATGCAAATACAATTGAAGCAAAGAAATAAGCACAGAGGATTTGTAAGAGTCATTGAGTGACAACAGGACCTGATAATCCCTTTAACAACTGATGAAGCATGCAAAAAATATAGCAGAAAACACAGCACCTGACAAACATCTGCCCTCCATCATTTTTCAACTTTTTCAAATTTGGTTGTTTTGTCAGAAAGAGGGGATCCCAGTGCCTACGTCCAGGAACAAGCTGGCTGCTAAGGGAGAGAGAGTTTTTTTCTCACACTGCAGCATTCTCTCCTGTGCCTGCAGGATGCCCCTCACAGTGGAAATCTGAAAACATACTGCACTCACCAAACAGTCTGTGAGCTGGCAGAAGGACCTCCCTTGCAATCACAAACCCCTCAGCCCAAAACAGCTTCTGTCTCCTGGGGAGGCACAGGCCAGGTCCCTGGATATCAGATGCCACCTTGGATCTGCCCCAACAGCACACACCAAAGCCTGGCCCTGCACTTACCTTCCACCACTGCCATCTTTTTGAAATCGGTGCCAGCAGCGCTCTGGTTGCTCAGCAGCTCGTACTGGAAGCTGGCTGTCCGGCGGCTGATGTCCCTCTGCGGGCTGGCCTGCAGGAAGAGGGCCACTCGTTGCACTTGGGCACTGAAGCAAGACACGTGGTGGGGTCGAGCCCCTTCTGCTTCGCTTACCACCAGATGCAGCTGCCCAGCATGTTCCACATAGATGCTGGCACCCTGGAAGTCACTGGCAGGCTTGATGCAGACAGTGGTGTGCTGGGCACTGGAGAGGTTGGGCTCCAGAACCACACGCAGGGCTCGCGCTGGGTACATCCATTCCAGGGAGCCCTCGGTGCAACGCAGATGGACCTGCTCCACCGCCCGGGAACGGGGCTCCCAGCTCAAACCGCTGCCAAGACAGTATCACCAGTCTGTCACTGATACCCACAGCACATGCAGAAGAGCCCAGCCATCACCACCACCCTGGCCATCACAGATACAAGTCCTGCTGCCAGCTCTGACGCTATCCTAACCACTCTTAACTTCCTCCAGCTGGGCTGCCTTCCCTCCTCACCTCCGACTATGGGCAAGGGAGGGGGACTGCTCACACCTGGTGCTGCACTGGGGTGCAGGGAAAGGAGCCTCAGCCCCTTTGCCTACCTGTAAATCCATGCTGGGATGCCTGGCACCCAGGAAAACAACAGAGGGAAACTTCTCTGCTAAATAGCAGCAAAAACTCTTAAATGTGACAGGACTGGCCAATGCTCAGCTCTCTGGAAAAATCCCACCTTGTAGGGATGGTGAAAGGCACTGACTCGCAGTGGGAGCCACACAATGAATACTGATGTTACATCAGAAAAATCTGGTTTAAAAGCCCAAATTTCTAAAATTATTTTTAACATTTCCAATAAGAACTCATCAAGAAAACATTTCTAATCACCGCAGATCCTACTTGCGAGCTCATGCTCAAGCTGGTGCAATTTCACAGCTTTCAGAAAAGTTAGTTTGGCTATTGCCACCTGTGAAAATCAAACCTGCGATAGCAGAATTAGTCAAATTCTGAAAAATAATTTGAAAAGACGACAAAACGCAAAGGAAAGGAAAGCTTTGTTATGTATTTTCCTGTCGAAGCTACAATAGGAAACCCTCCAGCAAGGGGGAGCCAACACCCTCGTCAGCTGAAACCGGCTGCTCCCCTTCCGGACGCAACGGGCGAGACCCCGGC